TATGTTCAGACGTTTTGGAATTAAACCAAAGTTTTGCTTTCCATGTTTGACTAGTACACAGTATCACATTTTGATAGTAAATTATAATATTAAAACCCTTAGACCATATGCACTCTCTTGAAATTCCTAACTATAGATTTAGAAGACCGTCTTCACCCTTAAGTGACGTAAGCATCAAACGTTTCTACAACCTTGATATCTTTTAAACAGACATTCACCAACAGGTGCTGTCTTTTTTGGGGAAATATAATCCGAAGAAACAACCCCCCTTTTCCCATAGGGGTAAAATTCTTTAAAGCTGATTATTTTAAAGAGCTTTAAAGTAATCAACTTTAGATACAACATCATTCACACACAGATAATTTCGGTGCGGTCGTTAGAGATTCACTGACCTTTAAACGCTCAGTAGGGCCATTGCGCATTTACTAGCAGTGACTCATCGTTCGTAAATGCGCAATGGCCCTACTGAGCGTTTAAAGAGCAGTCCCCGGTCTAATTAAGGACGTATATACGTTGACACACAAAACGTCTTGCTATCTAGATACGGACTTCGTATCTGCAGCCTGTTTTGACCGGTGTATGAATCGCGACTTCGTATCTGTCCGAACATTGTATAAACGACGTTCACAAAGGGACATTTTTTCTTTAAGGCTGTTTAGTTAAACATACTGGATGGCCCGACAGAGGAAGTTTTCCTGTAAGGGACCGGGGCAAAAAGGAAATGATCTATTGATAATTTATTGCATTTTCTTTGTTTTATGTATTTGTGGGGGCGGCCCCGTACCCTAGCCCCCACTGCGTACAGTCATGGTTCAGTGGCTAAGTACTGCCTCTTCCGCGGCTGTTATCTGGACAGCGCTGATCTTCTGGCCCTGGAAATTTGTTCTCCGTGCTCGGGAGGATGCCCCCCACAGCTCAAAACCGTGTCGATCTGCTGTAAGTGCCCTTTTGTGAGGCAGTTATACTCCTTACTGTCAGTTATGACTTAAGGACGTAGGTCCCCTACTTGGTTAGCATAGTAGCATACGCATGCGCTAGCAGTCAAACAAAACAAACACTCACAAATTATTATTCAATAAAATCTGAGATTGTATATGCCTACTATTATTATATCTATTAGGAATAAATCATTGTCAAAATCGTTCCATAAATTGGGGTAAAAATAATTTTTTAACCATTATAACCAACAGTATATGTATTATCCGATAAAGACCTTTTAATTGATTTAATTTTTTTATTATGAGTTTACGGTAATAAATGTGTTTAATAAATATTTGAAAGTTGGATACTACACACATAATTATGAATGGCGCAATGAATAATAAAACAAACTGTGATTTACTCACAATTAGATAATGGTTTTACAAACTACCTACATGTATATCAAAGTTTGGTTTACACACCACAAATTTGTTCATTGAAACAAATTTTCTTGATTAAAATGTAACATGATCGGAAATATGATGGATATTTTTTTGTTAAACTAGCCCAAATATATCGATATCTTTTTAGAGGATGCGCATTCTGAATGTACTGTACGCGACAATACACACAGGTAACACATTACAAGATAACCAGACAGATAAATTGATCCATGAAAGTGCTTTGCTTTATGGTATAAAAACCGCAAACGAAAACAAAAATAACAATATTATTTTATTCAACCGACTTCTGAGAGGGAAATTTGAGAGATATTTATATATACAGATAAAGAGTGGGGAGGGGGGAGGGGGGGGGGGCTTATTAAGTGAGCACTGAATCATTTAAAACAAATCTATTATGCCTTAGTTCGTTGGTTATGGATGATTTATATTTCTTGTTGAATCCATCTCATGTGGTTTCGTGATTAAATGAGGCAAGATACAAGACGATGATAATGACGGCGACGGTGAGGATAATAATACAAATTATGGATATTCTCCCTTCTCATTATAAATCTGAATATTCCTTCTCCCCCTCTCTCTCTCTTTCTGTTATTTAATGACTTTAAAAGAAAAAAACAAAAGACTTCTTGTAATTATATCAGCGTAGTTTATTTTTGCTATGACCAGTTAAAAATATTTATTTCTATAACAAAAATTTCATTACTAAATAGATTTACCACAAATTATGAAAAAACTATTTACATGATTATTTTGTGTTAAAAATTATCTGTACTAGTTTATAGGAGGGATTATACCACTCTGCAAGGTTACTGGACAGGTGGTTATCTCATCAACTCAGCTCTCAATTAACATAAGAAAGAGAGGATCATGGGGAACCAATGGTCACCGATTAGGCATTTTTTTATAAAGAGGGAGCAAGTAGCTACAAGTAGGACAGCGTGGCTTATAATTGTATTCAGTTCATGCTAAATGTATTACTCATTGCGGATTTTGTATCGAAAATAATATCGCTAGTGATATTCATTTGTCTCGCAATGTATGGTCAACAAGGGATCTAAAAAATCACGCCGGCAGTTCGTAAGCCGCTGCAACACTTCGTAAGGTGATAAAATATATTGTAAGAAAGCGTGTTTTTTAATCTACTGGTGGGCCGCCGGTCAAATAATTCGATCCGTTATTGTTCTAATTTTTGATCGAATTAATTGACCGCCGGTCCACCCGTAGAGTATAAAACACGCTTGCTTACAATATAGTTTATCACCTGACGAAGGTGGCAGTGGCGCACGAAACGTCGTGATCTTTTCGATCCCTTGTTGGCCATACATTGCGAGACAAACGAATAACACTAGCGATACTATTTTGGATTTTATTCATTCTTCTCAGCATAAAAAACAATATTATAATATATACAACATGACAAATATACATAGTAAGCGAAAAAGCGGAAACTACAGAAAAGTTTATAAAAAATGTTACAGAGTAGTTCGCAGTAGAGGAAGTCATGGCAAAAGCAATAACAAGCAAACAAAAGCAATAACAAGTCAAACAAAAGCAATAACAAGATACACAAATATATATGCCTGTGTAGTGTGTGATTTCTGTGATCAGTTTTCGTGTGCTACTTTTAAACATTTTTATTTTGTGTAAATCTTCCTTCATATTATGTCCTCTCCCGTTGTGTAACCCAAGTTTATTTTATCTTTTGTATTCTGTTTGTCTCTTTGTTTTTTTTTCCCACCCACCCACCCAATCCCCAAACCCAACCAGGAGGAAACATTGTTGTCTTCATTCAAGAATTAAGAAATGAATCTTTGCAAAAGTGAACGCTTAGATATGATCCATTATATATTGTTATATTTTATAATGTTATTCATTTCCCAAGTGGAGTAACATTAACTCTTGGTATCACTGTAATAAGTGCAGCGCCACCTTTTAGTAAGAACACATGATATGAGAGATGAACTACTCTTAAAAAGGTTGAATGTAAGCAACGAAAGCATCAACCCAAAATATATCAGCTTCAGAGGTAAACAAACACATTAAGAGTAGTTGCTTGAGAGTCATATTAAGATACTACAACAACCACATAAAAAAAAAATCAAATGTACTTATTTAGTATGGCATGTGTAATGGTAATATATATTAGTTATCATTGGGAATATATCGACGAAGACCATCTATGTAGTTTCTATTGACATTTGAATTTGATTTTCAACTCTCCTAGCTTAATCCCGCAATACAGCCACCAATTATCTTCTTAGTCTCAAATGCATACTTTTACTGCATGGCACGTACCATAACATGTATATTTCTTGCTTGTAAATATTACAATTGGAATGGCGTTGAAAAACGAAAAGCGTTGAAGATTTTATGTTTTGGTGGAAATAGATGATATAAAATAAACGAAATGAAATATCAATCAGAAAATTTAATAAACGAACTAAGCTACACATGTAGTATAATAGTATAGATGTTTTAACTGATATTCGAGGCATAACTGTTTCTATACAGGCTCAAGAGGACGATACATCCTGCTATGACCCCGAGGCGCGCCGCGGCGAGGCAATGTCCCCCGAGAGCCAGTACAGAAACAGATATGCCTCGAATAGTAAAGCAGTCCATATATCTGTTGTAGTAGTAGAATGGTTATATTAGGACAACTGCAAAATGGTAGCCCGAAAGCTAAATTACATTGCAAATTTTACAAGCTCAATTGTAAAAAGCATTTCATTTATTAGACAAGTACAAATAATACACAGTAAAATAGATGATTACTTATTACATATTCCATAATTGCAAACAAATTGATGATACCAATAAAATAGATTCATCATTATTATTATCTTTGTAATCATTGTTAAGTTAATAATCATATTTTGAATAGAAATTGAGGCTGATTAATTGAGTTTATGACAAGTAAATACTGAAGATTTGTTTGATTTCGAACCGTTATAAAATGCAAATTGAATCTATTCATAATACTACACTATGACGATTATCATAGAAACATGATTGAACAATACCGAAAGAGAGAGAAAATGTCAGGGAGAGAACGATTTAAAGAGAGAGGGTTAAGTTAGAAAGAGGCGGAAGATGTTAGAGAGAGAGAGAGAGAGAGAAAGAGAGGGAGTGGTATGAGAAGAATGGAACAGCTGGAACTGTGAATACATGGAGAAGAGGAATGATGATGAAAGTAAGACGGCAAATGGAAAGCGATTAGAAATTAAAAAGTGATTTACAAACTTTCAAAGACAGTACAATTTACCAATTAAACATGATACATTATTATATACATTGTAAACCGAATTCACAAAATATTCTACAAAGAATTCTTGCCTTATTATCCTTTTCTGGAGCAATGATTTGTACATTACAGATAATTTGAGACACTGTCTGTTAATCTTCGCTAGAAATTTGCCTGAATTTTGCGGGCATGGCTAAAATCACGACTCCAATTTCGACCACATAGATGACTAGGTTTATTCAACATACTAAAAAGAGGTGTATAATACATTGTGTATGCTCTAAATCAATAGCAACAAAACGATTTCTGGAATTGGAAAAAGAGAATGAAATACAAATCATGAAAAGTAAAGAGAGCCCAATACAAAGCATCGAAAGAGTTATCTGCCCATACACGCGTGCGTTTGCAGAGATTAAAATAAACCAGTAGCTTCACGCGTCGATCCACTCGTCTTTTTTGAAGTTTATTGCCAAGACTAAGCACTGCAGAGAAAGAGAGGGGAAGAGAGACAAATAAAAAGGACCACTAATAATTTAATTGTGCCACTCTTGTATGGTGTGTATCATTAAGATATAACGCCTGCATACGCTTTCAACATTCCACATGGTACAGTTTCATTTAGGAAGAAATAATGAATATCTTTCATGACATTGCTTATCTTAACTATTCAAATTTGAAGAAAAAAGGAAAATGAATTACAAAGAAAAAAAATTATTAGTAAAGATTTTATGTTAAGGAATAATCGATTTTGTTCAACTTTTATGTCAAGTTTAATGAGATTTCAGATTTCCGGTTAAGATGAAGATTAATGTTTAAGCTTCCTAATACTCTTTATGTCAACCTAGAAGATTAGCCAAGTAGAAATGTCACCTGGACATGATTGCTCTTAAAGTGCCCCTGTATTCAGCAGATGACTAGTAATAGCCAGGGTGTTTGGACCAAACAGTCAAGACGAATGTGCGTGTAGTCCCATAAACCCATTTCCGTGTTAGATTTAGAGATAAGCGCATTGAGAGACTTTCCTGTCTATGTGCAATTTTAAATTCCATCTTTATTAACGTTATCATTATTATTATTTATTATTACATTTATTATCATTATTTGTATTATTGTTATCATTATCGTTATTAATTTCATCATTTTAATCATTGTTATCATTTCTAGAACTATCATAAAATAATGATCATTAATCAACCATTCACAATGCCATTTGTTGTATGACACCAGTATTCAGCTGTATATCTCAAAGGACTTACTGGCCGTTCTTAGGGTTTTCCTGAACTTCAGCCTGGTCTGTTGAAGGGTTCACCTTTCTAATAAAAGACAAAAGGTAAGAGCGATAAGAAGTTTGAGGATGTAAGAAAAAGTTAATGAAGATGAAGTATACGAACAAACAGGACAATGTTAAATAATTATGTGATGTGGTCGAATGAAGCTCGCCACAATTGTACAAAACTTGTTCAGGGTGACCATTTGCATCCTTTGCGGACCCAACAACCTAAACTTAACGCTATACCCTATACTTTAAGGAAAATATTATTCTGATTTGATATAAAGCTTGATACACTGACGATGTGTCTACAGGGCTAAGCAAACAACAAAGATTCAACCGGTTGATCCAACCGGACACCTTTCAGGTTTCTATTTGTTGCTATAGGACGTTACGGCCTGGTTATGATTCGAGCTCTCAACCTTTGGATTGAGAGACATGACAAGTTAATGAACCACTATACCATGACACATCCACAAATGTCGGAGCACCTTTGAGACGCCCTGTACAAGGACACACAAATGTAGGTATAGCTGAAATCCCATGATAGCAAAGATTTCTTGACAGTTAACCTAAATCAATGTCAATAGCCCTGTCAATCAATTATTAACACATGCGAAAATTACACGTAATACGTGATCCCAATATGGTTTATATTGGATGTACATTATGGTATACAAATTGTCGGCAGTTGCTTTTTTGAAGGTGAGCGCTATTTTGAAGGTCATTGCTATTATGCTGACAGTGCTTTTTTTGTTTCTTTGGCGCCAACAAACAAATGTTGCATACCTGCTCGACGGTGGACGTTTCTTTGGTCTGCAGATCAAAATGACGACTAGCACGATCACACCGATCGGAATCACCGTTCCCCCATATATTCCGATGATCGCAGGCCTCGAAAGAACTGTAGAGGAAGAGGAAATTATTTACCTAATTCTTGACTAAAAAACTTGATGCATAGATACACTAAGTACAGTTAAGCAAGAAGAACTTAAGAAGTTCTAAAATTTGTATTTTATCTGTAAGACGGTATAAGGAAAAACAAACCCCATTATTTAATGTATAACTAAATTGAAGAAACTAAAAATTTCAAACTAACATACAAAAAATGTTATTCTACCTCCTCATTATTATTATGGGAACATACTATGGCAGTCTTTATATTATAAAGATATTTAAATTATTTACAACAGCTCCAACATAGAGCAGGAAGAACTATTCTAAAAAATAAAGCCTCAATTAAATATTATGTTACTTCAGTGCATGAATTCCTGCTGTTGGAGACTTTGAAACCTGGCACGAAATTCCATATCAGTGTAATGATGTTTAAAGTCCTCAATAGTGTGACTTCAAATTGTTTAACTGAAAACATATTTTATACCCTAACATCTTATTAGCTACGCTACATTAATATTTCGCCAAACAAACAACTGCAAACACCCTTTTTCTATTGGATGGGGGAGAGGGATGGGGAGGGGGAGGCTGACAGATACAACAGCATTTGCTAATCGCAAATTGCACATCTATGTCCTTTAATAGGTAAGACTAAATTCTTACCAAGTGGCGTCCCTGTCCTAGAGGGCGTAGTCTTTGTCTGCCCGGATGCATCACCCATGCATGTCGGGATATCGCCATGACTCCAAGTACCATTTGATTGGCAGGTTAAGTTGACCACATGACTCAGTTCGAAGCTGGCATCGCACACGAATCTGGCCACGCCCCCTGCCTTGTAGGTCGCCACGATGGCTCTTCCTTTAGCAGGGGCGGGAAGACTTGGGCAACTCACTTAAGATAAGATAATAAAAACAAAATATGAACGAAGTGAATAAAGGTACAAGCTTGTCATTAGGCATATCAACAAAATTTGCATATGATCGAGATAAAAAAAAAAACAACTTAAAAACTGAACAAGGGATACAGTCAAATATTTCCTCAAAACTAGGGCTCCATCAACGCTGAGTCAAACCCGAGCTGAAAACGACGCGTCTGTGCAATATAATCGAGTCCGGGTCTGTCCTGTGCATTTATCTATAAGTGATCCAAGGGCATTACCGCTTCGTGTGCAGCCAGCAATACGAGGCGTTATTCACTCGCGTAAATATATTACCTTAAACAGAATAATCTATGACATCGGTAATTATGAGCAATAGATATAAGGCGAGTTGCACATGAGGAAACAAACCGTATCAATTGGTTTGCCCAGCGAGTGAGTGTGTATTGAATGGTGGTAAATTAGTAAAGCCCGTTGCACACACTCTTACAATGCATAAGGTCTATCCGGTAACGGTAAACGTGATGGACCTCATACCAGGGGCGGATCCAGCCGGCGGCAGGGGAGGGGGCCCAATTCGTGAGAACATATTTAGCGGCGAAACAACCGACCGATAATTCACTCAGATATTTTGTGGGGTCCTCGTAATGCTGCTATGTGTAGTTGCACACTTAATTTTATTTTGCTGACGGAAGACATCGTTATTGATTGGTGCGATCTTTGACATGCTTTGTGAGAGTGAAATCATAACAAAAATATTATTTGTATAAGCTGATATTTCGCGTACATATATTTTTGGAAATGACAGGCTAAACAACATTTTCCCGAGCCGTTGCTTTCGCAAAAAAGACACAATGAATAGGCATGACGTATTCACAAACTCACTCACGCCAACACATACACACTCACAGACTCAGTACACGAAAGTATACACACACAAGGGCTACAAACGAGTGAAAGACTTTTGAAAAATAAGAACTTCCCCACTTGCTATCGCAGAAAGTAGAATCACCGGTGCAAGTGCAATCGCTGCTACACACTAATACGCGCGCGCTGTGTAGAATGCTCAGTGAGTATGGACATGCAAATGGCGTCGGCGATAGAAAGAGCGCAAGCACATAATGTTATGCTGATAATTTCGCGCTCCTGAAAGATCAGGTGGCAATATTTTCGCGCGTTGATAAATTTGAGAAAATATGCAAATCGCGGAATTCAGAAAAATAATATTGTTTACAGTAGTTTAAACCCTGCTTCGAATTACTGATAAATGGCCGTTTCTTTTCTTGGTTAAGGATGGTTAGAGCAGGTAATGACGAGAACGATATGACGCCTCATGCGCAACTGGCAATCTTGCAGTAGGTTGTGATAACCTTGCGTCAAGAAGTTGCGTCTGTACCTAGAGGCTCTGTCGTAATGCATGGAAGAATGTGATTGGTGCAATAAAATGAGGTTTTATGAGCAACTGGTACGAAATTGTAATTTACCGAACGATGCTCTGTTGTCAACTGCCTGCTGATACTGCACGAGGGACTTCACGGTATTCTGTGCAAAACTCTGCGACCCCGTTGTCTGGTAGTCGAAGATACAGAACGGGTTCGTACCGCAGACTTCTACCACAAGGCTCTGGTCTACAGAAGGGTTGGCGACAGGCTCAAAGACAGGAATGTAATGGCGGTTGGTATGAAATTCGTGGTCCTTGCCCGGTTCGTAATAGAACACTGATTTTGCGGCACCGATTTCCCCTGTGTTGAAGTAAAAGGGAATGACCAAGAATGCAGACAATTATTATTCTAAGACAAACATGCGTGTTCAAAATCGGAAGCACATACGCTATGGAGGATATCTAATTAATCATCTAATAATTTTGGAGGGGATGGTTTTGCACCCCCTAGTAATAAGGAGAAGGCCGATTTCTCTTAGATATAGAAACGTTGTATCATCCGCTCCATCTGGCTCACGTGCATAGAACAAATAAGCATTTTTGAATGAAAAAGTGAAGTTTAAAAAAAAAAGCGTTTCTTTCCAGCATTGGAGTTCCCGGGAATTAAGCAATGGTCACAAATCAGAGCGGCGACCGACCGATTTGTAGCCTGCTCGGTCGCCGCTAGAATTAAGGCATCGCCCAGCGATTTTTAAGGAAGACAAAAACTGGGCGAAATCGGGGTACGGGCGGCGTCCTGGCAGTGATCGACGAATGACCCACCGATCCCCGAGCGGTCTCCCATCAGCCACCGGCTTATTTTTAAGAAATTGCCCGGCGGGCGGCCGGTGATCGGCGGGGCACCAAAAGCCGCTAGGTCAAAGGCTGCCGACCGATTTTGAACTCGCAGCCCAGTGACTGACTGATCTCTCACCGGCGTTCGGGAGGCAACCGCTCTGCAGCCTTTGACCTGAATCGCTCGACGGCGAACGTTCGATTAGGTCGGTGGACGGGCGGTGAACGCCCGGGCACCGAGTGTATTTTTGGCGGAGCGATGCCCTAAAAGAAGCAGTTTCCAGGCGACCTCCGCTCGATTCCCAGGCGAAATTGGTTAAAAACTCGCCGCCCGGCCGCCGAGCACGCTACATTTTGAGGTTGTGACCATAGGTTGCTAATCTCTCAACAATTAAAATACATACAAATAATATGCACTTTCCTTGTTCCGGCAAAAGTACAGAGAAAGTGCAAATTATTTGTATGTCTTATAACATTGTAATCGCGCTGCGTGTCGTGTCTATTTACGTTGGAGAAGGGCAACATAGCGAGTTTCAATTGCACTTCGGCCGCTCTCGCTAGTCCTCACTCGCTCCGGTCAGGAGGCTTTATGGTAAGCGGCTAATGAATATACCAATCGTTTAAACTGGCTTGAATTGGTTGCATACTTTTGTCGGAACTTACTTATTCACATAATGGAACTACATGCCAGATGAAGCAAGTGGTCCGTGACCAAAGAACTGTAAATATACGTAGAAGGCTCATAGTGGTTTGAAAAATGTTGCCAGCGCTCGTATGTGACATCCGCCCTCTTCGTTAGTCATCTTGTTGTGTTAGCCGCTTTTTTTTTGTCAACGACAGGCCAGGCTGAAATTGTTTAAATTTATGAGCTGACAAGATCGAGGACTTAGCAAAATGGCGGCGTGTGTACTCAATGCGAATCTCCCAGCACATTCAACGACCGCATGTCGATCTGTGCATTGCGAATGGGGATGAGCGTTCTACGTATTTTACAGTTCTGTGCCCGTGACCCCTGCACTCAACACCATTTGTTGTGGCCAACTTCTTTTATGAGACAAATCCAAGCAAGCGTTTCAAAACGAGGTGATGAAATAATTTGTGAGCTGTTTTAACCTTTGTTTTAATGGTCATTTTTAACAGTATCATACGTTTAATAAAAACGGACACACTCGAAAAGGATTGCTAATGGACCAATAAAATTAATCTGAATCTGAATCTGAATCTGAATTAATGAAAAGTTAAAGCAAACAATATTGTGAAATATATATGTGTAGTCCCAAATGCCAATTTTGGAGTGCAGTGCATGTGAAGTTTGTATAATTATAGTGGACGCTATTACCTCTATACTTCATAAGCAACCTTTCCAAATAACTTCTAGATGATTACTTTCAAAATGTAATCACAAGACCAGAACTGAACTATATACTTAGTACCCTCACATTTGCTTGCTCTCTGTTACAATCCTATCTAGGACGGGCAATGAAGACTATAAACGAATAACTTTCAGACGTCCCAGCTAAACACTTAAACTGTGTCTTAAACTGTTTAGATGCATGATCATTATTGTTAATAGCAATCCAAAATATAATGAAGAAAAGATAATTATAAACAATATTAACATATAGTGAGAGGAAAATGTTTGGAAGCAATGAATTTGATATTACATAATAGTCCAAACTGGTAGTGCAACTGCTCAGTAGTCAGATCAGGTGAGAGGATAGATCCCTGAGGAGTTAGGAAATCGTCACTGGCATTACCATTCCACGTTCCCATCAACCCTTGCGTCAGACCCCGGAAGGAGTCTGGAGCTACGAGAAAAATGCTCATTGCTCCTTCGAATGCTTTTATATTTAGCCCTACCCCTCCGTCAAAAGATACAATGATTCCATCTGAGGTAATGTTGCGACCGGTTACCGAGACCCCTAGAAAAGCGAATAGAAGCAAAATGATGGACACAAAAGAACTATGCCTGGTATTGACTAGCTTATCGTAAAATAATTGGTATTTAAAGCAAAATATTAGAGTAAAAACAGATTTAAGGATCCAGAACATTATAGTTCTGCACATTGTGAGATTGCTCAGTGGTCTGTGATTGAAAAAAATATTCCTAAAGCTTGGAGATTCTTAGTTCGAAGATACATCTTAATTTTCAGTGGTGTGATATTCCTCATTACCAAGTTACTTGAATAAATTAAGTCTTTCAACTGTTGAACTGACATCGATCTCTTGGTCACGTATCCCCTACAGAAAATGAACTGCTTTCTCAGGATCTTCTTGGTAGGAAGAAGAGGGTACAAATTTGTAGGATTCATATCTGAATTAACATAATTCTTACCGCATGACATAAACCAAAAAAAAGAGGTTTATTTGATAGACGTGATATGCTCCAAGCAATGTAAGCAATATAGAATAACATTGTGTTTATAACTTCTGATACCTGAATATGACCATCGAGAAGCCTGATCGAATTCAATCCTTGTGAAGTTTTGTCCATCCCCGGCTAGTCGGACATAAACATCAAGAACCCTGCGTTCATTGGTTTGAACATGAATGACATCACTATCACCAAATCGTACTGCCATGGCAACAAACACCGTTGCATCAGACGTTCCTGCAATGGAAGATACAGTAAAAAAAAATGATATGAACATCTGTTCAACTAATGGATGCAATACTTTAAACCAAATTCGGTTCAAAATAAAAGCAATAGGGTTCCTATATGTCTCATATTTAGAACCCAAAATAGTTTTTTTTTCGAGGAACTTATGTACAGGGTTCTCAAGCAAAACCTTGAATGTTGTTATTTAAAGAACCTCTAAAGGTTAAAACATTAAATCCCGAAGTTTTTACATGCACTTTCCATGTATGCTTTAAAAAATAGCTTTTAAGAAGCTCTGGTCAATTTCAAGAGCCCTGAATTACCTAATTTTTGTTTTTGAAATGCTGTCAATAAATCCGTAAAAGTCTATCAGGAATTAAAATGTTATTGTGTCTTACTAAAATTGCAGACGGAAGTAAAATTGGAATGACATCGACGTGACAAGTACATGTATTAAAACTGAAGACTAACTAAAACAATAAATGGAATATGTGTTTTACCAACGAGAGGAGCCGCTCTTGCTTGTAAGATGAAGATGTCATTCAGTGCGTTCAGCAGAGTAAATTCACCGTGGCCGTTGAAAGTGTACGTGGTCGAGTCAAGAGTTGAAATATGTGGATCGCCACTACCCAATGCTGTGTTGTGACAAAGGGAGGGGGAGGGAGGAATAAATGGAGGGGATGGGAGAAAGAGAGAGGAGAAAAGGAGAAAATGTAGTTATTGAAGGGGGAAGAGGTTTTGTGAGGTTGTCAGGGATGATTTCTTGAGCAAGAATCTATTGAAATTCACTAAACATAATATTACTTTCATGCTCTTAAGCATGGTGTATGGTGTATGGTGCATGGTGTGTGCGTGTCTGTTTTTGTGGTGGTGGTGGGGAGGGGGGGGGGTGGGAGGGGGTTCTTATCATACAATACTAAACCATTTATTATGATCTTTTTTATTTTCATTTTAAAATGTTAATCATTCAACCAAAGCAGATCTGTCACTGAAAGTTGAGTGGTACAGTTCATCATTACTTCTTCTTCAAGAACAAAATGTGAACTCGACGCTGCCCTAACTTCCTTATTAACTATTTACCCTTTATGACACAGGTAATTAATGCGTTAAGGTTTACGTGTTAAGGTTTACGTTTAAGTTGTTTGTAATGGAATAAACATGAGCCCTTTTTGCAGATGTTTACCGCGTCTTATGTGAACAAACTTTTATGGTAACACACAAATATATTTCCAAAAATGCTCCAATGAGTATGTCTAACTGTTGAATGGTTGAAGAAATCTCATCGTGGTTATGCGGAGATCGATAAAACTGATGCACAAAAAAAAATACCTAGAGCAGGCGGAACGTAGTTGTTGCAAGTTTGAGAAGGCCGTCGGCGAGCAAAATTTGTGCACTCATCTGGTCCACCGTAAGTACAGCAGTAGGTCCAGGGCAAGATGTCGACGAAGTAGTGCGACATATATGGTACCTGAATAGATGGAGTCATGTAATAACATTTATAACGTTCAAACAATAACGAACGAGTTTAGCGGGAAATAAAAACAACAAAATGGTTATAACATGAACGTGTTTATTAAAGCTGATGCCCAGCTTTCATGTTACATATATAATAAACAACTATAAACCATAGTCGATAAGAAAGATTAACTTACAATCACTCATTCAGATGTATTGATTTGTCGATTAGGTAGAAATGATCAACGAAGTTGATCGCTGTCTGATATTTGGTCGATTTCCTTGTCGACCTATAGTTTTGCTCGATTGTCTGAAAGACGATTTCTAACAATAAAATGATGAACCATTTTCTCATTTTCTTTCGCATCATACCTATGCAACAGCTTTGGCAACTCTCGTGGAGTTTTCAAAGTTGTTGCATTGGTTTATATTTCTTAACAATTATTCAAACTTATACATGTATCTCAAAGCATTTGCTTTGATCCAGCTGAGGCATGCGGATTCTAATCGCTCGAAACTCACCTGCCCCCAACACTGGAATTTATTTAAAGAAGGTTGAAAATTCGTTAATCTGTCGGTGAATTGAATCTGTCGTCGTCGAAGCCACTGACCCGTCTCCGTGGTATAGTGGTCAAGGCATCGACTTTCTAAGCAAGTGAATTGTGCAAGAATTACCAAAAGGGAGGACAGCTGCATCGGGAACTTTGATTTAAGATACGCGACCACTCTCGCAATGTATTATTTCCACGGGAAATATAGGTAATTTTTAACATTTATATATTATTTATACTTATTTATGATATATGTTTAATGTTTATGGAGCTGTTAGATGCTATTTTAGTAAAGATGTTCATCGTAAGCTCCGGGGAGAACAAATCATTATCGGCTGGGCTGCTTGCAGACGGATGGACTCAATGTCATTTTTCATTAATTTCCCCGTTCTAAACGTTTGTCTTATATCTTCACTTTTTCTCTCTTTCCCTCTTCTCTCTATTCTTCTTTTTTTTTCTTTCTCTCTCCCTCTGTATGTTTTCTTCCCACTTCACTGACCTGTTAATTCAGGTCCTCTGTTTTGTGCTTTCCTTTTCTGCCTTCACTTGCTTTCTTTATTACGTCTTACCTTTTCCCTGCGCACTTTCTTCTTTATTTTCTGCCTTTTTAAAATTATCTCTTTATGACGTAATTACTCATGCTTTCTCTCTTTCTCTTTACGCATCGGCACAATTTATGGATGCACATGTTTTGACGAATATTGGGTTATTTTGATCACTTGAGTCCATTGGGGGGGGGGGGGGGGGGGGGCTTTTTGGCTCCCCCTCGGATCTCGGCAAATAATGTACCAATTGACTTGAAAATTGGCACAGTCGTAAAACAAGTAGGGTAGAATAAAAATGTTTAAAAAAAAAAAAAAAAAGACTTTTATTTTTTATTTATAGTTTATTCAAATTTTGAATATGCAAATTTTTGACGAATTTTGGTAAAAAATTGGGATTATCTTTTGAAATCAGGAGAAATGACAGCATTTATTCAGGTTTTCTGTAAAAATACTTTCAAATAATGTAGTTCATTCATATCCATGTTTTTTGGTAATATATATATATCAGTAATTTGCATAAATTATGCAAAATATAGCTCGAGAATCAGGATATTTCTTTATTTCTTTTGTATTTCATTGTTTTTATTCTCATGTATTTTATTGTTATGATTTGTTTTTGTTTTTGTTTATTTTAGAAGAATTTGTCTCTGAAGTGTTTGAAATAAACTAAAAACAAAAAAATAACTAGACATAATACTTGTTTGGAACAAGTATAGGTGGGCTGGTCAACTAAAATTTGAGACAAAATAGAGCAAAAATAAGCGAGATACTGCTAAAAAGACAAGGTCATGTAGATTCATGATGTGAACGAAATTGATGATGATGATGATGATGGTCATGATGATGATGATGATGATAATAATGATGATCATGATGATGTCGATGATGATTATCATCATTATAATCATGATGATCATGATGATAATGATGATGATCATGATGATATTGTGGATGATCATGAGCGTGATCTTGACATCTTATTGAAAAAATGAGGGATGATTAAGATAGCATATAATCTCAGCTACGACATAATAAAAAACTAACACAATTCAAGCAGAAATAACGGCGTTATTGCTCGCAAAAGACATGAATGTATAGAATCTAGATTTGAGAAAAAGTCATCTCCCATAGGGATTACACGCAAAAAGTAATGGATCAAGTGAAAATAGTGTAATAATAAAGTAAAGAGGGGTGTTTAGTACATTTGCGATTCTACGTGTTTTAATAGTCAAAGGAGATGGTACAGTGAAAGGCCAAAAAGAAAAAAAAAGGGAAGAAAAAAATTCTTGGAGACGCCCGGACTCGAACCAGGGATCTCGAGGTAGGAAGTCAAATGCGTTACCGATATACCAAAACATTTCCCATAGCGATTACACGTAAACAAAAAATGGAATTCTCAAATCCCACTTTGCAAGTAAAATATGAGCATGATCCCGGCATCTGGTCGAAAAAAAGGGCACTTATGATAGCTTATTGTCTCAGCTACAACATACTAAAAGCTCAGCAAAAACGAAACTAAAACGACGGAGATATTGCTCGTGAAAGACGGGAATGTAGAATCCAGTTTTGAGAAAAAGTCATGTCCCATAGAGAATACACGCAAAATGTGAAAAATTGACATGCCTCCTTTAATCGCTAAAATACGGCATGAGGCCTTTGTCAAAATGAAAATTGGTGATTATTAAGCTTGTAGAGAATTATTTTAGCTACATCATATCGAAATTTGGAAGAAAATTGGTCAATATTTACAGAGATACAATCGATTTTCCATAAATATGCTGACGTCATAATATGCAAATTCGTATTTTGAGTTCCAAGGCCATTATGATGATGTCACGAAACACCTAATGGCCAAATGAGACATGGAATCATATCTCTGACTCATATTCTATCTAAATATGAAAAAAAATTGAAGGTCACGGTTCATTCCAAAGAGCTTTAATGGATTTTGTATAGGCTATGTTTTTGCCCATATATGTTATGTATTAAACGAGCTCGCGCGCACTGACATTTATCTTGAATTGACGCTCATCTTGTTATTAATGGTCATAAAAAGTTAAAAATGGTATCAAATTCCTTGAAAAAATATAAGAAATATCATGAAAGAAAAAAAAATGGCGATTCTATGTTTTGTAATGGTGTTACGCGCGAAAACGCGCGCGCATGCACGTACGCGCGATTTTTTATAAAATGCTTAAAATGACCTAAAAAAATTTGCGCGCGCACTGACGCGCGGACGTACGCGGACGCGCGCGTTTTTTGACCTGAAATTGACCGGACACATATTGACCTTGATCATGATAAATATGAATGAGAAATGAATTACCGTTATGAAAATATGATCATGAGTAAATTTTCAGAAAATTTCACAAAATGGCGCCTAGATGACGTCATCAATCAAGGTCAAGGTTGAAAACTTTGCTGTGCCTTGTTCATATGCCTATACATATGTGTACCAAATTTTAAGATATTTGATTGAGCCACTTTTCAAATTATCTTGCACACAAAAAAGTGGGTCGAAATAAGAAAAATAAATAATAAAGGCAATTTTAACAAAATTATAAGGTGGTCTGTATTAGATACAGCCCACCTAATAATAATTATAATTCAATGTAACAATTATAACAGATCTGGGTTTACATGGCATTGGATGTATGAATCACATAGAAACGTGTACAAAATCTGCAGTTTTTTGTGACGGTCAAGCGATTATCGACCTCTAAAATCAGTTCTACATGTCCGACCGGAGTGTATTATATATCAAAATATGCAGGAAACTTGAGAGAAAAAAGTCATGAAGTTTCAACGTGAAATTGTAATCGGTCTAGATGCATGGCGAAAAAAACGACAGGGGGGGGGGGGGCTAAAAGCCCCCCCCCCAATGGGATTAGGGTTAAAGTAAAACAAAAAAAATCATTACTGGAGGGCGGGAATTTATAAAACAATTTATTCTTGCACGGAGGATCAATATTTGTTAGATTTTTGCTTGTTATCTCAAACTCCGAGCAGAAATAATACTGCCTATGTTTGTGTGTGTGCGTGTGTGTGTGTGTGTGTGCGTGTGCGTCGGTGGGTGTGTGTGGTTGAATTGTTCTCTACGTCGCTTTGTATAACTCTCTCCCTTTCTTCCTCTTCCTGTTTGACATAGAGTCACACCAAATGCATATTCATACAAAAATGATCATACCTTCTTAGGTGCCCCATATGGGGTGACGCCACCATGGTGGTAACGATGGTTGAAGCCCCCTCCCAGACTATCAACGATATTAATGATCATTCCATCATCACCATAGCAACACTCCTGTCCCCCTCCTAGTGAGCTGAAAAAACAAACAAAGCAGAAGTTGACATTTACTTTCCCCCATGCAGGATATCCATCTTAAAATCTGTACATACCTTGTTCATTTCTAACATTTTGATAAGGACATGTCATACTTATAAAATATTGGATGGCTTGGAGAGTGATACAAGAATATATTGCTCGAACTTTGACAATAGGGACTTTTAGATTTACACGACGAGAACATGGACCCCAACGTGTGACATCATTTTAGTGTAACGTGACGTCCTTGTAAGGCACTACCGGGCACAGCCCAGTGCATTAACTCAATGTCACACGCGGCAGTCCACGCTCTCGTCGTGTAAATATAAAAGTCCCTAATATTGAACGAGTCTGAGACGAGTCCAATATGGTCATAGCGAGAGCAATATATTCTCGTATCACACGAAAACAAAGCCATAACATATTATTAGTATTATATATATCAAGCTGACTAGCGAAAAAAACTAAACCTGACTTACCTGGGTAAATATGGATTTTGTTTGTGTGTGTGTTATCGGTATTGTTAGTTGAAGTTCCCGGATGACTGAGCAATACGAGAACAATATTGGTCAGTAATCCGGGTACTGCGCTAAGGAATTGAATACACTGATTTATTGTACAACTTGAAACCCTTATATAGATAATAAGTATATGATAATAGATGAATATATTGCTCGAGCTATGACAATGTTGAACGAGTCGGAGACGAGTCCAATATTGTCATAGCGAGAGCAATATATTCTTGTTTCAGACGAAACAACGCCATATAATATTATTATTGTCATCTTTATCAGGCTGACTAGCGAAATTATTTTTTGGGGCTTACCTCGGTAAATATGACTTTTGTGTGTTAGATATCGGTAGATGAAATTCTCGGATGACTGAGCAATACAAAAACAATATTGGTCAGTCATCCGGGTACTGCGCCAGAAAAATGGAATACACCGATTCACTGTACCACTTGAAAGCCTTATATAGATAATACTGTATTTTATTGTATGAAAAGATTAATATACTAAGAAATGAAAATGGTACAAAAACTATTAATGTCATATATAACAAGTGAAATCAGTTTATTATTAGCATGTGGGTTTCCTAAAAAATACGTCTGGCTGGAATGCTCCCAAATGAAGTGGAGTGTGTGCACATTGACATGCAGGACTGTAATTGAATCCAGGTTAATAATACTTTAAGCGCTTCGGTCGGTCAAGTTGTAATTGGTGAAGTGCTTTATAAGAGTTGTAAGTGGATTCGTAATGGTTATTACTAATCATGCCAATAGAGTATGGAAAAGCTAGCTCTTCCACATTAATAATTAAATATATACCTCGGTGTGTTTGCTTGTACGCAGTGTAACGCCCCAGGTTTATGGATGCAGTTGCTAGGCGACGAGATGCCAATATCACACAGCGGATGCGGACTAAATCTCCCTATGTCGATTTGGGCCTGGTCAAGTGTACATGGGCAAGGGTGCGTGACGGACAGAAAGGAAAAAATAGACCCAAATTCTCTTTCAGTCCAATCATTGCACCAATTTATTACGTCATCGCCGTTGTGCCACTGTAGAACATGGACCTTGCTCCAGAGGGCAGCCCGGTTAGAACTAGAAGAACCCGAGAAAATAACGATTAGGGAACCAAGGAAATATTGTACAAATAGTACACAGCAGCGAGGGCATTAGTAAAAATTACTCACACAAGGTACCTTTGGAACAGTCTAGCACGCCCGATGCGATAGCCGAGGCTGTTTGAACTGTTTCGAAGGTACCGAGTGTGGGTAATTATACTAATGCCCGAACAAAATGATGTGTATTATTTGTTTTTAAGATGATGTTTTATTTCTTTGATAAAATGCTGTTTTAATACATTATTTGCTAATGACCGGTCATAAGTATTAATTAATGGCCGGTCATGTTATGCACAATATATGCCTTGTCACGTGTACGCTCTCAACCAATCATTTGATTAGGATCCGCTTCAGCATCATTATAACTACTTATATCCCAATTACCAAGAATCCTGCAACACGATTGGTCAAAACGAGATCACACGGAAAATGATGGATTGCAATATCCTTGATGTGATATTAAAGTTTGTTTTCTCGGAGTGATAGCATAGATATGCTGTATGTTATGAGAGGCATCGCTATACATAATTAATATAGGCTTAAGGGACGTTGCATATAACCCCCAGGAGCGCTTCTTTTTAATTTTTGAAAAAAAATCGAATAATCTGATTGGTCGAAATTGGAGTCGTGATTATAGCCATGCCCGCCTAACGGTCAATAGTTTGTGAGAAAGATTCCCGTTGTCCCAGGTAACGGGCCGAATAAATACATTTTGCTGAGATCCCCTTTGGTTTACGTATAACAAGTTTCTTTGTGTGAGCGCAGATACCATACAGTGCAGTGTGTGTGCGATTCCCGAATGATTGATTGTAAAATCCAGGCAACCTTCCAGCAAAGATATACAGATACTATATCGGATTTTCTTTGATGTTTTAACCAGTCTTTACTCAAGAAAAGTGCTATTTAATCATGTCAATGTAGCGTAATAATTTGTGTTGTTTTAGTTTACTTTATTTTAGTTAAGAATGTTATATTTTTGTGATAGTAATACATGTATGTACAGCGCCATGAGCGTCAGAGCCTGGCGGATACCGGCGCTATATAAATATCCATATTATTATTATCATTATTAAGGTATTTAAAATTTCTTTGTAGATTTTTTTGTGAATTCGGAATATAATCAAAACGATTGTATGCATTTATGTAATTCTCTCTTTTTCAGCCGATGCCAATGGATGATATAGACGTAATTCAATTGGTAGCGTTTTTTAAACGTCAAACAAGGCACCATCAGAAGGTGATGCAAACAATGTTAAAATGCACTAATTATGCATTCCAATTAAAATATCTCATCATTGGTTAAAATTATGTTGTTATTGGAAATTGCAATATTTATCCAAGCATGTTTTTTGTCCATTTTCTTATATTTCAAGCTTTGTCTTGTCTTACTTTTTCATTTCCCTGTCTTTTTCCATTTCGTTGTTGGTTTGTGTGTTCGTAATGTTATTCCTACTTTATATATTACTGTTCATATTACCGTATTTTATTTATCCAATATCAATTGTTTAAAGGTAATACAAACTTTTGGTATGGGGTCATTGAATTGGTTGAAATGAGCATATTGAAAACATATGCGATCCTACAATATTTAGTGATCGTTGTCGCGGTTGGAATCCAGTCTAAAAAGATGACATTGTAAATAATTAAAGGTAATACAAAGTTTGGGGAAATTCTGAAAAAAATGGGTGGATAGTGATTCGTTACACTTATGATATAATTGGATGCCCCTGTTGATGTATTATAAAACACTGGAAAATTTAGCCCCTAAAACTCTTCTGCTTTCGAGATAAATTCAATATAAAAATTTACCGGTGCTCCCGGGAGATTTTGTCAAATTTAAAGTAGCGCCTACGGCCGTACAATTTACTGGAAGCACCGGTGCTCATAATACATCAACAGGGGCATCCAATTATATCATAAGTGTAACGAATCACTATCCACCCATTTTTTTTTAGAATTTCCCCAAAATTTGTATTACCTTTAATTATTTACAATGTCATCTTTTTAGACTGGATTCCAACCGCGACAACGATCACTGAATATTGAAGGATCGCATATGATTTCAATATGCTCATCCAAATATATTGAAATTGTAAAGATTCACTATCCAGCCAAAATTTCTCAACAATTTGTATTACCTTTAATGTAATTTTCAATACTTTGATATTCAATTTTTGTTTCAGCCGTCGGTTGCTACTTAGAATGTATGTTTTTTAATCAATGAATCAGTTCAAAAATAATTTTAAAGTCAAAATAATCGTCTAAAGATAGATAAATAGTGCCGACGTTGAATATAATCAATGCCCGTTATTTGAATCATCAAGAATGATAAATAAACTCAAACTGGATTTTAAGGAAAAGATATCAAATTGGGTTTAATTCTTACTTCTCCCCTTGACCATTAGATTCAATGACGCCAATAACACCGACGTCGAAGTGTATTTGAGGGTCTAGTAACCCTGAAACGCTGTGGTAACCGACACGATAGTCAACTCCCTGTGCGACTATGACCAACGGTCCACTAAACTCCACGTAATCGTCCTCTCGGTAGCCGTAGACAACGACGTCAACTTCGTCCACGCTTTCGAGGGCATCTGTGTTCCACGTGATCTCGAAGTCGGATTCTTTTTGGTTGCTTTCCGTTACTGAGGAAAATACACCGTCAGGAACGTCCTCGACACTGACTGTAGGGGGAAAAGGTCATTGTATAGATATTCTAGGCATCGTTTCACGATATATTCGTAAATACAAGTTCGTCGGCAATTCTTTGAAACGACTATATTTGCAATCAACCCTCGTTTCAATGGGATGTTGACGAACTTGTACATACGGCAATGTTGTGCATGATATCAAGGTACGAAAACATGATAACGCGGCAATCTGTTTAATCTTTCAGACTTATGCTCAAGTAACTCTCTAGTCTCAACCTCCTATCAAAGCACTGAAGTTATATGTTTATGTTTTAGCCCTTGAATATGAATATTTAGGCATTATTCGAGAAAGATGATGTCAACCGTATCCGAACACCTACCCCCTGTGACAACTTTCTCCTAGGACAACTTATCCTAGGGCAACAGCCCTCTAGGACGACTACCGCACCGGGACAACTACCCCAGTCTGGGGTAGATGTCCGGGAATAGTTGCCCGGAGGGTAGTTGTCCTAGGGCGTAATTGTCCTGGAGTATTTGTCCTAGGGGTAGTTGTCTATTAAGGGGTAGTTGTCCCGGGGGTAGTCGCCCTAGGGGGTTGTCGTCCCTGGGTAGATGTCCGGGAGTATTTGTCCTAGGGGTGGTTGTCTGAGGGTAGTTGTCCAGGGGTATTTGTCCCGGGGGCAGTCATCCTAGGGGGTTGTTTACTGGGGTTGGTTATCATGGGGTGTATGTCCAGGGGTAGGTGTCCTAGAACCGATGCCAACAAATGAAGAAGCAAGCAAAATTAATAGCCATGAACAGTTGTTTATTGGTTGGAATAAGATTTAGAACATCATGAACGTATCATTTATTTCTTCATGAACTATCATTTTTAAGAATTTCGGCAAGATTTCTTGTAATGCATAGTTATAGCATAAGCCAACGATTCTGACCTGATGAGTGATGACAGCTTAAAGGTATTACAAAGTTTTGGTATGGGGTCATTTGGTTCAAATTAACATATTAGAAGCATATGCGTTCCTACAGTATACATTGATCGTTGTCGCGGTTGAATTCGAGTTTAAAGTTATGAAATTATAAATAATAAACTCTTTATGTTGTATAGCTCCCACTCAAGGTCAAGATATTAATTTAGCTATGAAACAATGTTTCTTGACTGAAATCGACCGATTAGCTATTCCCGTTAGAAAATTATATATCCCAACTACATATTCTGAGATTTTCATGGTCGCAGCTACGATTGTACGGCCATTGGCGCTATTTGAAATTTATCAAAAATTACCGGGAGCACCGGTACATTTTTATATTCATTTTTTCTCGAAAACAGAAGTGTTTCAGGGGCTAATTTTTTTATACAATACATCCACAGGGGCATCCAAATATATCAAAATTGTAAAGAATCACTATCCACCCAATTTTCAAATTTTCCCAAAACTTTGTATTACCTTTAATGTGAACATGTTATAGCTTTATACAAAATATGCTATTCATATGAACTTACTAATTGTGAACAATCCTGTGAAATCAAACGTGAGTCCGTCGTCTAGAGATACGCGCAGGGTAATCTGTCCAACTTTGTAGAAAGTCGGCGAAACGCAAAGGGCGACCTCGTCTTCCAAAAGTCTTCCAGAAGTCTCGAATCCGTCGAAATCACAGATAATCAGGTTGGTTGAATTAAAGCACGGTCCGTTGATGAGAACCTGAGTTCCACCAAACATTGAACCAACCAATGGGAACAAGGAAATGTCACCTGTCAGGAGGAAAACCAACCTCTGGTTAACGAAATGGTATGAACGAGGGCGTGGCACACTAAAATTATGCTCCTCAGTGTACTTAAAGGGACTTGGTAATATTGTTCAGATGAGAGAAAATGGTTCTTAGGTAGTGACTTCAGTGCTAGATGTACATTTAAAGATAATCTGGAAGTTTAAGTGAAAACAGACCATTATTAATGATACAAATTGGGGAAAACTGATCTGATCGATTTCAGAATTCTCCCTTCTACATTATTTTAATTCATTTAAATGTTAAGGTGAATGTGCATCGTCAAAAAGCAGTGAATTCGCCCTATATACAATTCGAAACATTTAAGTGTTGGAAGATTTTAAAAAGCCTGTTTTTTTTCTCATGGAAAACAGTTTAAAAAAGTCAAAGTTGGGAGGCTTTTTAGGCTTTTCTTGCATATTAGAGGTAAGTACGGTAGAAGGAATATAAAAAAGTAACATTTCATACAATAATAGCGCAGTTTTTTCATCAACCGTCAACAATGTTACCGAGTCACTTTAAGTTCATACGGGTAGAGAGTGAGAGAGAAAGAGAGAGAGAGAGAGAAGAGAGGGGGACACACACGTAGCACCCACATACGAACCATACACACTCTCTTGCCTACGACCCCCCTACACAATACCTTGTCATTCGATCAGGTTTTTTAATTATAAATCAAGAGATGACTACAAATATAATTTTTTTAGATATCTTCTAATTGACCGAAGCAAAGTAGTTCATTTTCACCAATTTTATTATTATCACAATGAATATATCAAAGGGAATATAACGTGTTGATATAAAAAGAAACAAAGGAACGATATCTAGCTTTATTGATGTTTGGTGTGAAGCGATCCGATAGCAAAAACACAAATGAGTACATGGAATGGCTGGATCTGGGATAAACTGAGGTGGAAGTGGTAAAGAGGAATCGATTGAGATGAATCGATCGTGAGTTGAGGAAAGAGAACGATGAACGTGTGAAAAGAGCGTGGGATATGGAAGAGGATGACACAAGGGGCAAAGTAAGACCGAAGATTTCTTGGAAAGAAATGGTGAAGAAAGAAAGCAGTAATGTTGGTTCAAATGGGAGAGTGTGCTCGAGACAAGAAGAAGAGGAGAGAAGGAGTGTCATCATGACCAGAAAGTAAATAGCCCCTTGTAAAAGGACAGTTATGATGATGATGATAATTTCGTCAGAAATCGCAGGAATGTTAATGATTGTTTACACACCGGAGGTTGTACATTCTAGTCCTTCGATTTTGGAGTTGTCTGTCCTGAACACCCATCTTCCAGGTACACCGATATTCGATGTCGTTTCGATATCGGCGACGGCTGCTGTTTGAGATCCAGGGACACTGTAAAAGGTCACTCCGTCACCAGCGTTGAATCCAACCTAAGAGGCAAAAATGTGACATTTGAAGCAATACTTCCGAACTAATGTAACTTGTCTCATTCCATGTCATATTGCCCTTTTCAGTGTTTGTTCCCCCTAACAAAACTAAGAGAAAGAGAGAAAGTCGTCAGAGTGGTTTTTTCTATCTATTAGTTGGCGAGAAACAAATTTGACAAATTTGACTGACTCTAAGGTACTGCGAAACTGCTTTTCTTTGTATGGTTGGAAACAGACCAAACGGATTTAGAATTCGATTTTACGTTATCGATCAAAATCTACACTAGCTTTGATTTTTGATTATGTTCTCTTTTTAAGGTAACGATTATAAAGTGTTTGTTTAATCCCTGTTATCGATACATCCAGCATAGCATATGAACGGGTCTTATTTTCCAGCAGTGCATCATTACTTGCACCGAAGCATCACCCTTTAATCTTTGTGACTGCACAGTTCACGTCAGCCTTTTGCATTCCCGACTAAACTAAAAACAAAATCATGGAAAGGAAATTTAGACCATGATACCAGAGTCACAACCGACACCAAACTGACCAAATTACATTACACCAAATGATGCCTAGGAGTCAATTTAGGGGTATGACTGATGTATTATTTCATAGAAATGGGGGGGGGGGGGGATACTGTAATACATGAGCTCGTTATCATAAACACAATCGTGTTCCTCGTTTATAAGAAGAAGGAGGTATAAACCAAACGTCATAATGATTTACCTGAGCTGGGATACCACCAACACCTTTATCACGATTACCACCACTGGCAGCTCCTGTTGTCCAGTTGATATCACCGTAATTAAAGATGGCGAAGGAGTGTCCGCCATCTGTCACCATCACAGCTTGAAAGGAATTCCTCTGAAGTAGATATCAACATTATCAAAATCTATATCTTGATATAATATTATACAAATAATGAATGGTTATGAGTTCAATACTTCTACTTCTACTTTTATGGTGATACTCACCAACGCCTGTTCAGCATCTAGATGAGGGTAAAGCATAGAGTTGTTATATACAGCTCTATGCGGTACACTAGTTCCTGAAAAGGGAACTAAATTGTTTCAATAGCCACCTTGAACTGCTCCAAAGAAGGCAGTTCAACGATGATTTGAGGTAGCTCGTCCCAGACCTTATGTGTCCTGGGGAAATAACTAAATTTGAAAGTGTCCATCGAAGAGCCTATTCTCATATATTGTTGTTGTTGACTCCTCCTTGTAGTTCGCTGCCTCTGTAATCCGGTATTGGTATTGCAATTTCGTTTAATTGCTATCTTCTAGAACATTGACAAACATGCCCGTTTTTTTCTTTCTTCAAGTTTTGGGAGATTAAGTTGTTCTCGCATGGATGTTAAACTTGCATCACGCTGGTAGTTTCCACAAATGAAACGAAATGCACGTGTTAGGACCTACTCTAGTTGGTCTATCTGATTCCGCTTGTTGGGGTCCCATACTACCGAAGCATACTCTAGCTGGGACCGTACGAGAGAGTATGCCAGTTTTTTCACTTCTCTTGGACATTGTCTTCCAAGATTCCTCCGAATGAATCAAAGGGTACTCGAGGCCTTGTTTGTGACCGCATCTACGTGCGATTTCCAACTTAGACGCTCATGTAGCTCGATTCCAAGATATGCTTTGCTGGCCACACCTAGAAGATCATCTCCCCTCATAGTATACGTGTGCATTATGGGATGCCTCTTTCTGTGAATTCGCATTGAGTAGCATTTTTTTGGCGTTGAATTGCATTTGCCAACGATCAGCCCACTCCAAGAGTCTGTCCATATCTGATTGAAGTTTTATCGTGTCATCTACAGATGCTATTCTCCGCATCAAAAGGCAATCGTCCGCAAATAATTTGATGATAGAATCGACCTCGGCACCAATATCATTTATTAATAAGAGGAACATAAGAGGACCTAGAAAAGTGTCCTGAGGCACTCCTGATGTGACATGAACCGACGTTGAAGCCTCTCCATCAACAACCAGTCGTTGCATCATGGTAGTTAACCAAGTTGATATCCAGCTTAGGGTCACATCACGAATTCTGTAGTATTTCAGCTTACTTAAAAGCCGTTGATGAGCAACCTTGTCGAAGGCCTTGGAGAAGTCCAAAATCATTACGTCTGTTTGATGGTTGTTATCTGGATAGTTTTTCCACCGTAGTGATGAGTTGGGATTCGGTAGAATGCTTTCTGCGGAAACCATGTTGATACTTTACAAGTATATCATTTTCATCCAGATGTTCCATAATGGAACGAGAGTGCGAATATTTTCATGAGTTGAATAGAATTAACGCTAATCTTTCAACGAATATATTCGCACTATTACACGAATGAAAAACATTCATTATTTTTTTTAAACAACAACGAAAAAGATCTAACAGAACGTTAATCAACAAATTATGCTTTACTCCTTATATCAAAATTAAATTAAAGTTGGAGTCAAGCCTTCTCGATTACATTCAGATTGCCTTCGCGTCAGATACACGCAGGGATACGCGCACGGCAGAGAGGTACGCAGTCTGCATATAACCAAAAATGCACGCCCGTGCAATATAACATCTATTGGATATCATGTGACCAACAATCCTCCAACCAACCTAATTGGTCAATTATTGATCACATGACATTCGCCATAAGTACTGCCGAACGGCATCATTCTCCAGTCGTGTAATTTCGTTTGATCCTTTCGCAACATTGCACGCTGACGTCACTAACGATGTACACAATATATGGTGAGGTAAGTGACGTCGCCGTGCAATGGTACCAAATAATCAATCGACATTGCACTCCGCATCAAAATAAACATATATCTTTGTACGCGCGGCGCATGGTATGCGCATGGTTTGCTGCCTGCTTAATAGTGCGCGCTCACTATCGGCAATTTCATGAATTAAAAAAAAAATCGTTGAGATTTAGGCCCCCAATACTGTTTTTAAGCCTATTAACATACAAGGTGTTGTATAAAACAAATAGTGAATTGCCTTTATTCGTGCAATGGAACAAGATTTTGCATTCGGTGAAAGATGAGATGCTGTATTCAACTCGGCTGCGCCTCGTTGAATATAGCGTCTCTTATCTTTCACCTCGTGCAAAATCTTGTACCATTGCACTCATGGCCATTCACTATTTGTATAATATTTGATGACACAAAACGGATAACACGGCAGGATGGTGAATTAAATGACTCTCAACTTTTAGTAATTTCAGTGATAGATAAAGACGTACCAATTAAAGTGAAAAAAGGCGAAAACATGGATTGTTTAACGGACTAAAATGCATAATCAGTCAAGTAGTGTTTACAAATTGTCGCATGTTTGTTCAGTTTTATTTCTAAGAGGTTTGCACTTGGGTCTGATATCTGCTGTTATCCTTTTATCATGTATGCAAATTCGCTGACGGGTCTTTCAAAAAGGCCAATGTCCTTAAGTTAATGCAAGATTCTATAAGAAATGCCGACTATGTTTTATTCTCGTAGAATTTCGTCGGTTCTTTTGTTATCACATCGCCATAACACGAGAAAGAACCCGAAATCCATAATACAGTGGCGACAGATGATAAATAGGTTCAGCGGCGAACTATCGATCAAGCCAATTTACTTACGATGGAGGTATCAAAAGCACCAAAGAAAGCTACGCTGTCCCAGGTCGCGATGTACATCCATGACGACACAAAGTCTCTCATGTCAACAAATGATGCTCTTATCACTTCATCAGCTTCGAGGAATATGCCGTCGTTTTGGGTGAATCGTAAGACTTGTCGATAGGATAAAGTTCCGCCATTACGCGTGTCAACATCAGCCCAGAATGGAGTCAAAAGTCGTCGGCCGTCAGCGAGTGGAAACGGATAAGGGGTATATTGAGAAACTCTTTCCAAGAACGAGATGACACCGTTATTGTTGACCTGCATCAACATTAATATGAAAGCAATTAGTAGTAGATTTTAGTGACAAGGCTGGAATATCGTAGAGAGAATGAGAGGAAAAGCACGGAACGAAAACAAAGAAATGGGGAGACATATAGTGAAGGCGGTAGTAAGTATTGTTTTAGCCAATTCATGAGGAAAATTGAAAAAGTAGAACGGTATTAAATGGAGTTTAAAAGAAGACAAATTAATCAGCTCGTACGGATATATACACACACACATACGCACACACACACACACACACACACGCACACACACAAACACACACCAACACACACATGTCAAGAGAAATAGAGGCATGGTATGTAGAAATAGAGGACAAGAGAATAATAGAGTCAAAGAGAGAGTGAGAGACCAATAAAGACAGAGGAATAGAGACAAGAAAGAAGGAGAGAAAGAGAGAGAGAGAGAGATAGAGAGAGGGAGAGAGAGAGAGAGGGAGAAGGGGATGGGGTGGGTGGGGTGTGGAGAAGATCATCGTTTGCAACACTTCATACATATACACGAACATTGATGAAGTGGTAAACAATTAAATTACCTGTACTTTCGAATTTTGAAATCAAACCAAATGGGGATTTTTATGATTTATTTGGAATCATAATTGAATATGTTATTAAAGTCAAATTTAACCCTAAAAAGGCCCTCCACGATTTTTCCGATTGCTCGGGAACGCATATGGATGGCTCCCCGCCGCTCGCTGACTTTTTTTTTTCGAGTCTTGCGCATCTTTAAAACAAAATTGAAAATCTGACCAACAGTTACAAGGTCACGTGACCTTTTGTCTTTGCATGTCAGCCCGAAAATCGCTCATTTTTGTGATTTGTGTACAAAACATGTAAATGTAATTTTTCCTAAAAAATGGTTATTGGGGTTTGTTATAAGTTTAGGTGGTTGTTTTGGGAGTCAAAATTGTATTGTAATTGAATTGTAGTAAGAAATGAAATAATAAATAAAATACATAGGTTAAAAAAACAATGAAATACATAAGAAATTATCAAAACAATAGATAACAATCATAAGAAATACGCTGGCTCTTCCAAACAAAATTGTCGTCTTTTTATTCCAAATGGTCTAATGAATATATGTAGTGAAAAAGAATGCTTAAATATAAATAATATATGATTTATTGGTAAAAATGTGATTTAATGACCTTATTTGCATAAATTACCATAAATATGCAAATAAGTAAATTTTTCAAAAAATTTAAATTATCAAATTAATTTTATACACTTCACTTGACATGCGTGCACATTTTCGCGGGGATCGGCCGCTTCACGGCCAAAATCTTAAGGGGGGGGGGCATAATGGCCCCCATCCCCGGCCGTACTAAGACCTCAAATAGCCCGGCCTTTTTAGGGTTAAGGCAAGTGGAGCGCCCGCTACACTGATCATCCGTCCAATGTGTATTTGTTATTACTCCCATTCATCACTCCATACAAAACCGGGATCCATTTTTCTATTGTAAATACCACACGCAGTATTATAATATCTACTGCAGTGCGTGCGATTTTACAGCATCGTAACAGGACTTGGTTTGAGGCAGACATTTTAAACAGACAATCAAGGTAAGTCTAATTTGTTTTTCCTCCGTTAGCGCGATAGTTCCAGCAAAATTTATATTTGAGTTTGTTTTGACAGGAATAATTTATTGAATGCTATATAGTATTATCTTACCGCTGATATGATTCAAATCATGAGATCATAAATCATGTCTAATTTTACTTTAAGTCGTCATTTTGTTGATGGGTGCATATTTGGGACACAGAGGTGTTAATGGTGAGGATGCAGTTTGTGTGGTTGTATCCTTTGATATGACTCTGATCACGGAGAAATTCTAAGAAAGTAGGGATTATCGATCAAGAGACAAACTAGCTATGAGCAAGAGAGGATCAAAACCGAAATGTGTATTACGTGTTGAAATTTGTTGTTGATTGTAAATGAAAATCATACAACTTGTGATACTATAAACAACAATACTTATTCCGTTCTCTTGTATAGTATATTCACTTCCAATGAGTTGAAAACAAGATTACTTCTATATTATAGTACTTATGAAAGGTCGTCGCGAATTATTTGTAATATTTGATGGAAAGTTCAAAAGTGTCATATTGTAGGGTAGGCTTGCAAATCTTGAAACCTATACAATTACAAATTGAAATAGTATACTCATGTATTCCAGATTATTATGAAGATTTGGGACAATATAAGCATTAAATAGTGCCGAAAACAATACTCACTCCATTATGACTGTTTAAAATGCTGGTACTAGACTGAATGGCAATCCGTTATGTGACATTTCATTAAAATTATTCAGTACAGAGTCATATTAGCATCATTTCGGCCATCTTTTCATTGGGTAGTGTTGGGTTTATTTTTGTACGAGAGATTTCCATTTAGCAAAAGACATTTCCCATTTTTCGTACTGTACACGAATTAATTTTTTGCTTGCTCTGTTTACCTCTCAACTCATTACGAAAAAAAAATATGTTGTTTATATTGATTGGAAATCAATGTTTGTTAAATATATATCGATATCGTGTATGAATGGTAGTAACGTCCCCGTGGTTACAGATAAGTATATAGAATTACGGGGATTTGTTTACATCTTGGTCTTTAAAATTAATCTTTCCTGTTTACACAATATCCTGAACCGGAGATCATTAATCTTCAACCATGCCCACTATAAAGTACTAGCTCCTGTGAACTCACACCTACGAAGTTTGTATAATCATGTACATATGTTAATAATTCATTTACTAAAGCTTGGACTTGGCATTGTATAGCCTGTAATCTATAACTTATAATCTATGAAGGTATAAATAGTTATGTAGGCGCTTTGAAAGGCTTTTTTGGTCAAAAGCAACGCTTCAGAAATGTATATTATTTACTATTATTTATTCACCAAATCAAGTTGTTTGACATTCTTAAATGAACAAAGAAAAGGAGTACAATAATAAGAGCACTGAAATGTTTGTAGCTGGTCAATTTAAGATGACTTCTTGGGGTTAAATTTGGTCTTAGAACCATTCTTCATCGAGAAAGTAGCTGCTTTTCAGCATTGAATGCCGTGAATAGACGTTTAAATATAACGATACATTCAAGAGAAATGATATGAAAAGAACTCACAGAAAATATAACAAAAATAATAAAATCAAAATGAATACGAAAAAAAGATAAACATCCTTTGAAAGACCGATTATGAGCAGCAGATGAAAGAACTTGAAAAGAACACAATCGTCTATTTTTTTAAAAATTGATATGTGGCGGTGTGCAAGGCCCTTCACCGCCTTAAAAACCTACGGTTACACATTGTATGCAGGTAAATCATATGCGTCATCTTTTTTGTCGCCATCACGAATTGTTAAATCTTCCATTGTATAAGTGTCACACAGTTTCGCTTTTTGTACTTCACACAAGTGTACAAACAACAAACTCGACTTATTATAAATGATATATTGTTAATATATAGGTGAATTAAAGTCTGCGAGGCCGCCACATTTGCACACAAACATAAATGGCTCTCATGCGTTATTTTAACACGATCGAAGGATGATATCATTATAGCTCATGCGAATCATAGCGTAGAAAAATCGTGCCATAATGACCTTTCACCTCCTATTGTACGATAATTGGATGAACATGTATATTTTACTAACATCTTATTTATGCCCTAGGCGATGGGTGTTCATTTTTTCGTAGGCTACTGAAATATATTTCTTGTTTTTTTAAAATGGACAGATAAACAAACGAGATAAGTAATTACCTCGAACGGTGCACAATATTTTTTATTCAACTTGTTGAACAAACATTGCATTTAATGTACATTTCTCGTCGTAGTACACTCGAGTGCACTTGTGCACGCCATTATGGATGCATACAGTCATCCTACGATGGCAGGTCGTTATATATGACGCCATATGCCTTAATTAGAGATGAGGTAACATGTCAGTTTTCGTCGACATTTCCGCATAGGAGCGTTAATCCTTTGTGTGGTAGTGATGATTTTTTTTTATGTTGCAGATTTATGTTGTTAGTACTTATCCTTTATTAAAATAGGTCACTTCAGAGGGGATATCAACAATCATTAAAAATCATTCTATTCATTTGCTTCCAAATATTTTCTTATATCAACTAAATACTCAAGTAAAACATTTGTACAGCCTACTTAAATAATGACATAAGTAATTTCAGGGATTAGACCTCCCTGCATGGTCACTGCCATTTGGTTATCTCATCAAATCAGCTCTCAATTAACATAAGAATGTACTGCATGTAGTGCAGTCTCGCTTTAAAATATATCACATGTCCTCCTTGGACAAACAAACTAGAGGGTAGTGATCCGGTGATTAACTTCTTAGGGTGATTAAATCAATTATTCTAGAGGTAGGTCTATTGTTTTGGGGGTAGTTGCACGGAGTACGGATAGTTATTGTTTAAGTTGTTTAAGTTGTCCTACTGGATGAATACAGGACTCATATATTGCAATACTTATCGATTAACCATGCTTGTATTCGCTATCTTGCAATGTCCTTGTGTTCCAATTAGTATGTCTAATCATTTGTTGAAATTATTTCGTTATTTAAAATGCCAATGTTGATCCAATAATGTCTCAAAACCTTACTGCCAATAAATCTAAATTATAATTGTTCTGGGTCAAATTATTTTGATAACTTCACCTAAATTTCTCCCTCTTCTTCTATCTAAACCTGATGTCGTCTGTCCTTTTCATTTCCCAGTGTTTTTCCCTTCCCGTGTTAATTTTTGAGGTGCAATTTTATTCCTACTTTGTATGTTACTATGCATATAACTGTATTTCAATTTTAAATGTATTGTATTCTAATGTAATTAATATATTTTTTTTGTAATTTCAATTTGTTTCAGTCTTTGGCTGCTATTTGGAATGCATGTTTCAAAAAAGTAATAAAGAAAGTTCAATTAATCAATCACTCAATTGGCGCCTCCTTTCTCACGTGTCAATGTTGTGAGGAGGTGGTAGTCCAGAGGGAACACTATACAGTCCTCAAATTGCAAACATAAGTGAAGTTTTATCCCTACTATTGGTCTTCAAAACTCATGTTCGGTCTTTACGAAACCTTCTTACCCTACACAGCAAGTTACCCCTGATATGCAGGCCACGTCTCATCCCACCCAGCCCGGAGTTCCGGGCCAGACTGTCTACGTCCACCAGCCCGCTCCAGTCAGCTATGCCAATACGGTGCAGAACCCTAACTCGACGAGTGGCGTGTCGCAGAAGTTTAACGGATCTGCCGGGAGAGCGACTGGTTTGCTACATTTGTCCCTCAGCATCGGGAGCATCGTCGTCGCCATTACCGAGTTTGTTATTGGCACCCCAGCAGGCTATGTTGCCATGGGAATTTGGGCAAGTGTTCTGGTAAGTCGCCATTTTTATTTTTATTCTTTGGAGTATCCAATTGTTTCCATACATGATTGCCAGAACTCGACAAAAATCAACATAAGGCAATTATTCCCTGTAAAATGTGCGAACATTAATTTCAACGACTTATTGCACAATCCCACCACCACGCATTATTGCTATGGGACAAACAGTGCGTATAAAGAAAAGTGCTCACTTGTCCGCTGCGCCATTTTACAGTCACGCGTAATGAGCAAAACTTTTTAAAGACCCTGGTGCTTAATCGCTCTTGGCAGAAATATTATGAATTACATAAAAAAACATATTGCTCTTCATCATGAAATAGAATTACCGAATTTAGGTACAATTTTGTATACCCACTGTACAATAGTGTAGTCCAATCCACACTGCATGAGCGTGCATTTCGTCATTTAGTCGATTTTAAACGTCTCCTGTAATTATATATCTTTGTTTTCTCCTCTCTTTCCTGACATTCCTATTGCATTTGTTTGTAAGTACACATGTATGAGGTTTACTGTAATACATTTTAGGCCTATATTATGCGTGTTAAATACAGACATGTGCTTTCTTGGACCTTCGCATCTTGCCCCACATGTTTACGTTCAGTTAAGGTCTAAGAAAATTTGCTTCTGAAATTGAAAATTTAAAAATGTTACCAAAGTTTGATGAAATTAGTAAATGTTCATAACAACCCTGTCGAAACTCCTTCTTTCTGTTACTCTTCTGTCATTGTACACATTAATCGCATTTGACAATTCTGTAATCTTTCATATTTCCTGAAATTATTTCAAATAAATTTTCTAATAAACTGAATGAATTAAAATTTGATGAATCACTTTTGAGGCCGAGAACACTTTCGAACCAGTCGATTCTGATTTGCAGATTTAACTTAAAGGGATAGTTGAGTACTGTTTTCAAACCGCAAATGCCTTCAAAGTGCATAATTATAGCTCTTATTTTATCTATATATCATTTATAGTGCTCTTTTAGAACTCTTTGCCACCCCTACTAAATTTATTTAAGGCTGTATGCCTAAAATTGCTATGAATGTAATTTTAGACCCCAAAATGTGTGAAATTTCGTCGATGCGATCATACAAATTCAACTCCACTTAAAGATGAAGTTGAGTTCTGGTCATGCGATTGCATTGTGAAAGAAACGGTGTGGAACCGACCAGAAAAGGTTGATCATTTAGCATATAAGAATTTGTGTGTATTGCAAGGTTCTGGAATCATCAAATTGATAAGAAATTTGGCCAAGTCTTGGTAAAGTTACAAACACTGTACACAGAAAGATGTATATGGGACTACACGAACACGTGGCGTAAAAAGCCGCCCCCCCCGATTTTTACGATGTTACATGCATATTTAGAATGTGAAGGCATTTGAAGAGCAATGCTTTTCAGGGAACATGTCTTATCTGATGTTCTTCCACACTTGCATAATGAGAATGAGTAATGCTCACAAATTATTTTTCACCTCTTCCCAGAACTCAACCTTCTCTTTAAAAAAAAATACGGTGACCGTTAATTAATTATTTATTTAAAAATAACAATACATGGGCCGGCTGGTTTTGCGAATATAACCAACACAAAAATGCCAACAAAAAAGCCAACATCGGTATTGGCTGAAATACGAAGTAAAAGGCGCTATTTCGGTTTCACAACGGCTTTTTCAAATTATCTAATATTTGTGGTGGTACACAAGTATTATAATTCGTTATATGTATGGATATTTCAGCCGTCTCTGAACCTATTTTGATCAAAGATGATTTTGTCATTTAAATTGTATGTTCTTTCAAATTTGACACTCAGTTTTTCATTAACTCACACTTTTTTTTGTTAAGCGCCTTCTGCAACAAAACTTAACTATCCCTTTAATTTGGCATGAGGTTTTATACAGACAGATTCGATAACTATGCAATACCTTTAAACAAGATTGGTTTGAGAAAGAAAAAAATATCAAAACTAGACTATATTTCATTTAGCTAATTCTCAAATCAGTACTAAACTGTAATTATATTGGTGTCTGTTTAGAGCATAATACACAGTGCACGCTACCAAAAAAAATGCTTTGCAATTTTGTAAAAATATTTATCTTATTTCAGCAAAACTGTAATTATGGAGAGGCATAAAAAGTGACAGAGGCCAAAAAAAAAATTGTTTACTGTTAGCAATACGTGTTAATATAAGTGCAACTATTTAAGAGAGAAAAAACATGGGTTATTTTGCATATATATATATATATATCAAAATTCAGTTGACTTTTGTAATTTTGATTTTAATGGCTGTTATTTATTTCCTCACCTAGTTCTACATTCCTACCGGTATCTTAGGAATATGTTCAAAGCAGAAGAACACTTGCGTGGTATGTATATTTTTGTATAACTAGTTTAGTCTCTTTTATAAATATGTATTCAGTACCCATAACCCCTTTACATGTATGCGTTTCTTGTGATTTCGAGGACTCATAATAATTATGTATACAGCGAAAAAACATATACCGCACACACATACGCACACGCACACGCACCCGCACACCCAAGCACTGCGCACCCACACAATCAATTACCGTGTTTACACAGTGATCCGCCTCGAGGTTTAAAGCCGGGTTGAAGCCGCGAGGCGTGTTGAACCCGGCACTGGAATCCCGTTTACATGACATAAACACGCCTCGTAGCCTAAAGAGACTTATCGCGAAAACCCGAGTGAACGCCAGAGCGAGTGGCCCAGCCAAGTAGCCTTTAGTAATATGGTTTGGATTTCTTATGTTAACCATTGTTTCCGACTAGAATTCTCTACCGAAATGGTAGCGTCCACTCACCGAACATATCATCGCGTGACGTCGGCATGTAGTTTTCATTACGTTCAAATTAAACTCTACGTAGTACGAATACCGAAACGAGTTGGACTGGTTTATTTTATATACAGCGAAAGCCTAATTATCTCACTTACAATTGTTAGCTCAAGTCATCAAATTCTTCCTATTTTATTGTAATTTTGCATGTAAAATAGATTTGGATATGTTATATTGTATTAATCATGTATATGTTCATCTCATAAGCAAAACTAGTTTACGTCTTTTAACTTTTCTTACATGTTTTGATATTGATCTAATCACGAACGAAATCAACTGGGAGATGGTCATTCTGATTGGTCAATAAATCCAAAGTCATGAATAGTTCATGCAGAGCAGTAAAAGCTAGAATCAAAAGGCCTCGCGGCTAAAGCCACTCGATCGCTCGTTCATCCCGGGTCTCTAGACTCATCTCAGCCGCTGATTGGGGTGGGAAATAGCCAGAGTCACGAGGCCTTGTCAAAAGGCTACACGCCTCGCGGCTTCAACCCGGCTTCAACCCTCGAGGCGGATCACTGTGTAAACACAATAAATGTATTCCAAGGCCAGTTAAAGACTTGTTAAATCGATTTTAGCTGAGGAAATGATAGTGTCACTCAACAGTATAGGCAACTACACATGTTACAACAATGAAATAATACATCGGTTCCGCTATTAACATAAACTTTATTCATTTGTTTTGCTGTTGTTTTTTTTCGTTAACAATTTATTTCTAAAAATGTTGTTTTCTTAGATCATCGGCTATCTTACGATGTGTATCATCACAGCAAATGTTGCCTTTGCTCAAATGATTGTTGGTGCCATTGGGGCAGTATTGACCAGTAACTATCCCTATTACTATAACTATGGCGACAGTGATCGAGGAATAGTGGTATGTATACAGACTGCATGCTGGAATGCATTTCTCTTTAATACGACCTTCCATGAAATGATTGTTGCAGTATGGTTTATTCTTGATAGACAAAGTTCCTATCAGAACATTACTGATCTATCTCTATGATTCTTTAGATTAAATGTTTTATGTCCCTTTACCCCATCAGTTTCGAATGCTTTTCGTCTTTTGTGCTTTTCAATTCTTATCAATATTTTAAAACAGTATTATCATTAACTGAATAAATGCTTTTATATAAACACGTTCGTTTTTTATTGGCCTGGTTTTTAAAAATAATTTCTTCCATCATCCTTCCCTCCACTTGTCAGTATTACAATCTAAATTAAATGTTATTATGATTTTCATTGGCTATTGTATATGTTTCCATATGCATTTATAGATTTTCTTAAATTTCAAGTGTTTCAAATTTGTTATTATGAAGAATTGATTCAATACATGAATGCATAAATATGAATAAATAATTGTTTATACACTGTTGGCCATAATGGTGAAATAATTTTTTTGACCCCGATTTATGGAAAGATTTTAACAATGATTTATTGCTCATAGATCTAGATAAAGTATACATTCTCAGATTTTATTGAATAATATTTTGTGAGTGTTTGTTTTGCGTGACTGCTAAATCATGTGTATGCTACTATGCTCATCAACTAGGGAGCCTACGTCCTTAAGTCATAACTGACAGTAATGAGGATTAATGCCTCATAAAAGGGCACTAATAAAGTGCCTTTATTATCGACACGGTTTTGATCCTAGGGGCTCACAGTAACGAGGCCATTGCTTAGCCACTGAATCATGACTGTACGCAACGGGGGCTAGGGTACGTCGCCGCCACCACAAATACAACAAAAAGAAAGAAAATGTAATACATTTTCCATAATTCATTGCAAGTTGCCCCCACCCCTAGGATAACAAAATCCACTATGTGGGCATGCCTTGATCCATAATGCATTACCCTACAGAGGAATTTATAACGGTGTGGACCGGGGGAAAATGCAAAAAAATTATTGATAATTTATTGCATTTTCTTTGTTCCTTTTTTTGTATTTGCGGGGGCGGCGACGTACCCTATATAGCCTCCGCTGTGTCATGATTCAGTGGCTAAGCAATGGCCTCGTAACTGTGAGGCCCCAGAATAAAAACTGTGTCGATCAGCTATATTAGTGCCCTTTTGTGAGGCATTAATCCTCATTACTGTCAGTTATGACTTAAGGACGTAGGTCCCCTAGTTAATTAGCATAATAGCACACATATGCTTTAGCAGTCACGCAAAACAAATACTCGCAAATTATTATTCAATAAAATCTGAGAATTTATACTATTATCTAGATCTAATAGGAATAAATCATTGTTAAAATCAACCTATAAATTGGGTTAAAACAAATTATTCCACCATTATGACCAACAGTGTATATGAATATATGTACTGAATGGATGAATGAATGAATGGATGAATGGAATAATAGCTAAATAAAACAATGAAAATATACGTAAATAATAGGTAAAAAAATGATAAATGAATAAATGAATGGGAAGATAATTATATAAACGAAATTAAAACAAATGACTATTCGAATTCGAAAACAGGAAGGAGGCATCGCATCTGACTCACTGTTGGCCATCTTTGGCCTGATCGAGATGGTGGTAGCCATTGTGGCTTCAGCCTTCTGTTGTGGTGGCATGGCCTGTTGTCACTCGTCTTCACCAACAACCACCACTGTGGTGAGTTATTTGTACTATCACCCCTAAATATACAGGGGTGGACATCCACTCTCTTTTGTGGAGAGTCATGTTATTTTTCCTTTCCTTTAGAGTGGAAAATCTACGCTAAGATGTTGGAATCCATTGTCACAAGGGAAATACAACCACTTATATTTGTAGCTGTTTCCAGTTAATTTCCATTACAGGTACATTTTAGCAACTTTGGTTTAACAAAAGCTCCCTATAGGAAGAAACATCAATCGTGAGCAAAGGTCGAGGTGGCACGGGGTTGTTGCCACCCCTACTAAATTTATTTAAGGCTGTATGCCAATTTCAAAAGACTTTGAATGACCGAGATTTGTTGTTGTTTTGCTCTGCATGTCAGTATATTCCAGCAATTTTTTCAATTTTAGTCAACATCATCCCCTTAAAACCCGTTCCGTCAAAAACTTTGCAGAGACGCTCCTTTAACCAGATATTTAACAAGACCTTATTAAAAAGTTACACATGTAGATTGATTAAAACAATAATGTCCTAGTGATTTGTTTTTTGTTTCTAGTTATCATTATAATATGCTTGGCTTCAGTATAGCAGTCGGACAAGTAATATGACTTCACTGGAACTACGAACCCACGAAGGTCGTAGGTACGAGCCCTCGCAAGGCACAGCAGACATTTAATACTGTCAAAGGACATCATTTGCAAATTGATATGATTCCCCTGCACCAATGGCATGTGGCAATATACATTTGCTACTCTCAATCCAGCTGAAGTAATGGGTACCTGATAACATGTATTCATTGCCATGATTACATGATATGCACTACAGCAACAGGATGCGAAGCCAGAATAATGCTGTCCAACAGAGTATTAGTTGATCACATGTATTGTAAACTATACAAAAGAAGAACAGGTCTATTGCTATTATCATTGTTTATTTCATTTGGTTTGTATCTAACATTTATTTGTACTTGTTTCAATTTCCTTTGCAGTACACCCACCAGAACATTCCGATGGTTGTGACAACCGGTATGTATATAACGATTGTTTGTGTTTTTGTTTCAACTTCAATCTATAGTTACTTGGTAACAAACTTGGTATTTCCATTAACTAGTTGATATAGAAAGGAAACGGTAGGAAGTATAGACTGTGATACTAGCAATATCAGAGCTAAGGATTGGGGGATGTTTTATTATACCTAAATTGGTACATCTTATTATCTTTAAATGCTAGATTGTTGGTGAAATGTTAGCAAGTGTACTTCTCTGTTCCATTTCTCATTAAACTTTATGGTATTAACAAAACCCCGTAATAAACACATAAATTATTAATTCTACTTGATTTATTGTCAGATCCCAACTAGAATATTGTTCAACGTGTGACAAACTTGAGGTATACTATTATCGTTGAAATGTGGTCGGTAGCGTATCGGAAACAAAACCTCGGACTTGTCCACATACATCTACACAAAGTTGGCGACAATTTTGCAAGTTTGAATGATAATACTTCACAGTTATGGTTAATATTCTGAAATGAATGTGCTTATTTTTTATGAATACGCTTCATTATCGATAACTTGATTGAACTTCCTTTCACTTTCTTTGAATTTTAATGTTACTCTGCACTATACAATCAATTTAGTTATCGTGATTTATTGATGTGAGAGGAAAATTATACTACTAATTCCTTGAATTTTCATTGTCTCTACGCAGACCAGTACACTCAGCCGGCGGGAATTGCTCAGCTCCCTCCCGGACACAACGTTCAGCAGGCGTATCCCCCTGCTGGCCAGCCTGTTGCTCCAGCTCCCTACAACCAAGCTCCTGCTGTCCTGTACAACCAGGCTCCTGGTGCCCCCTACAACCAGGCTCCTGTTGCCCCGTACAACCAAGCTCCTGCTGCTCCGTCGAACTAGGCTCCCTCTTACTCGCACAACTAACAAGCAGCTGCTGCACCCATCAGGTCTGGCGAAATGGTATCTTAAATGCGTTAAAAAATGTTTCTTATTAATAAAACTACTCGGATATGTAGATGTTTATATTCGGAATAACAAGCCATAACTATATTTTTGATAAATAAAATTCAAGCCTACTCTGAGACACACGGATATCCAGAGAAAAAGTAGTTCATCCTCACACACTTTTTATTATTCTGAAGAGAGTGGTTTCGATTGTTAGCCGTGATACAGTGATTATAATTTTACATCAATTCTTATCTAATTTCCTCAATTGGTAATTAAAAGATAGCAGATGAAGAAAAAAAAGCTAAAATAATGGCTGATCTTTTTTGATAGCTACGCATAAAGTCAAGAAAAACAAACATGTTATCCTTACATGATATAACATAGCAAATTATATTATACAAAAATATGTGGTATGAAAGTAAAATAAGTGTCCTCTTTTCATCACGTGAAGCTAAAACCCCCTTCACCCATCATTCCACCCAACTTGGGAAATAGAGAACCCTTTTTGTTACTATTTATTAAGCGGCTGGGCTTCAATTGAATACTCTTGATGACTGCACAGAAAGATCTGTGAAAAGAACAAAGATATCAACAACAAATAACATTAACAGCATAAAACAGCTGAATGTCACAGTGCGAAAAATATGTAACCAGCCAACTTGTAGACGAAAAGTTATGCATACTGCATTTAAACTAAATGGGCTGATATTCCCTAACTGCTTTATAAATCATCAAAATGTTAATTCAGAGGACCAAACAAGAACATTTTAAATTGTAATAAAATAAATTGAAGAAAAATTTATTTTACTTCGATATAGATACAAACCGTTTGTTTGTATGTTGATTCAGTATCCCTATAACCTTGAAAATAAGTAGCCTTTTTCTAGTTGCCTGAAGTGTAGTGGAATATATCCAATTACCGGTGTATATTTGTTTACCTGATGATATATTAATATTGTGCCTTTCGATCTTTTGACTGTCATTTTGGAAGTAATCAATTCGTCAATTAATTAAGTTGACGAAGATCGATGAGAATTTAAGACAAAAGATGATTTAAAGTGTAAATAATTTCAGATAATTGTGTGAAATTGATCTTTGCTGAATTCTAAACATAAGATAAATCAATGCGTACGTGGTATGATAGTTCAAATAACTTCATAATCTAAACTAAATACAAAAGCAATTCTGTACAAAACCTTCAATAAATTATCGTTGTTAAGTGGCTGAAACGCAAAACAGAGTGCCATTAACAGGTCAAATTTTGAAACAAGAAAACAAATGAAAAGGGAAAAGATTCCTTTTACAACAATAAGGTGGGTAATTTAAGTTGTGTCCTGTGTTTACTGCATTTTTCTGTTTAATTTAGAACTGATTTATAGGGCGAATTATACAAAAGTACAACAGACAGAAATTAACAAAAAGAAGACAAAACAAAACATCATTGAAATTAGTATATGTTATTTTAAAACAATTTGAATTTTAGATTCGTTGACATTACATAAACAGTACAATACCTTACATTTTGCCTTCTTCCGTGCTCATTCTTATCATGTATTTATTTTTGTTAAATGACTCTTTCTATATCCGAAGTCATAAATATGCTTAGATTGACGTAGGCACTCCAAATACCTTTGAGCTGAAACTTCTACTTTCTGAAATATTCTTTTTGAGACTTTGTATATTCAGCTTTATTCTCAAATCTTACAAGGCGCGTATAGTAAGAGACACTTTTCATATTTTAAAAATTATTTTTGTAGATGAAATACTTGAGCAGCTGTTAAATCTAAAGCTTCATTACTTTAAATCTTTATTTTTAATTATAGAACTGTTTTTAGAATATAATTTTTTTTGAAAACAGTGATCTTTTCATTCCTTTAGGTTTCACTGTAGTTCAATTGTTAATGTATAATAATAATAATAATAATAATAATAATAATAATAATAATAATGGCTTCATTTCGTGATATATCAGATAGTGCATTCAGCTCGCTAATATTTGCACTCGTCTCCGAATCGTGTAATATTCTCGAGCTTAATGCAAAATATCTGATATACCTTCTAATGCTTCTTGTATCATTCACTGAGGTACAGCCTGCGGTAAACATATCATCTGTACAATAAACTTTTAGATTTTGATCGTTTTGTATCAACCAGTCATCACTAACTTGACCACGGAGAGAGAAAGAGAGGGGGAGAGAGAGGGGGAGAGAGAGGGGGAGAGAGAGGGGGAGAGAGAGGGGGAGATATATGGAGGGAGAGAGAGAGAGAGAGAGAGAGGACATCTTTGAAGAGAGGGGAATAGAGGCAGGGGCGGATCCAGTCGACGGCAGGGGAGGGAGCCAAAGAGAGGGCCCACTTCGTGAGAAATTAATAAGCGACGAAACAGCCAGCCGGTGAATATTTATTTTTGCCCCCGAAAATTTTAAAATCGCACCCCTCCCCTTGAGCACCAGGTGAGGGGGCCTTTCTTTATTAACAAATAAAGATAAACTTCCTAGGGAAGGGGGCCGAGCCCCCCCCCCGGCCCCCTGGAATGAAGAAAAAGAGGATGAGAGAAGGAGAGGGACAGAGACATACTCACAAAACAAGAAGAAAAAAGGAATGAAAGCTAGAACTAGAGGATAAGATAACGAGAGGGACAACGATAGAGAGAGAGAGAGAGAGAGAGATCAAACAAGACAGAGGAATGAAGAGAAAGACAGAGCAAGAGGAAGAAAAAGAGAAATAGGGACACTAAGAGAGACAGGGGAATCAAGGACAAGAGAGAGAGAAATCAAGAAAGAGTGAGAGAGAGAGAGACACCAAGGAAGACAGAGAAATTGCAAGAAGAAAACTAGGTTGAGGAGTTAGAGGGGGAAAGATAGGGAGAAAGAGAGGGGAGAGAGAGGGGGAGAGAGAGGGGGAGATATATGGAGGGAGAGAGAGAGAGAGAGAGAGAGAGAGGACATCTTTGAAGAGAGGGGAATAGAGGCAGGGGCGGATCCAGTCGACGGCAGGGGAGGGGGCCAAAGAGAGGGCCCACTTCGTGAGAAATTAATGAGCGACGAAACAGCCAGCCGGTGAATATTTATTTTTGCCCCCGAAAATTTTAAAATCGCACCCCTCCCCTTGAGCACCAGGTGAGGGGGCCTTTCTTTATTAACAAATAAAGATAAACTTCCTAGAGAAGGGGGCCGAGCCCCCCCCCCCCCCCGGCCCCCTGGAATGAAGAAAAAGAGGATGAGAGAAGGAGAGGGACAGAGACATACTCACAAAACAAGAAGAAAAAAGGAATGAAAGCTAGAACTAGAGGATAAGATAACGAGAGGGACAACGATAGAGAGAGAGAGAGAGAGAGAGAGATCAAACAAGACAGAGGAATGAAGAGAAAGACAGAGCAAGAGGAAGAAAAAGAGAAATAGGGACACTAAGAGAGACAGGGGAATCAAGGACAAGAGAGAGAGAAATCAAGAAAGAGTGAGAGAGAGACACCAAGGAAGACAGAGAAATTGCAAGAAGAAAACTAGGTTGAGGAATTAGAGGGGGAAAGATAGGGAGAAAGAGAGAGAGAGAGAGAGAGAGAGGGAGGAGGAAATAGAGAGAGAGTGAGAGAGAGAGAGAGAAAGAGAGGATCGAGACGAAGAGAGAAAGAGAGGATCGAGACCAAGAAAGACAGAGCAATTGAGGGAAAGACAGGGAGAAAGGAAAGAGAGAGAGAGAGAGAGAGAAAGAGAGACCGTAGAAAGCCCGTAAAGGGCTTGTAGGGCAGCTTACGGGTCCCATGCGGGCTTCGGACGGTGCCCGGATGGACCCATCACGATTTGGGGGGTCAATTCTCATGAAAAATCTTTTCTGGCGCCTTGCGGTGCTCAAGGGTTCAGTACGCATAGGCGCCGAAAGTAGGGGGGGGGGGGGGGTGGGCAGGGGGCATTTTTGCCCCCCCCCCAAAAAAATAAAATAAAAATAAAAATAAAAATAAACCCCCCCCCCCCCCCCCCCCCCTCCAAAAAAAAATGCAGTATAGGAGTAAAGATGGTTTTTATTTTTTACCCAAAAGAACAGAACAATAATAAAAACTGGAATTAAATCACATATAAAATTTCATTCAAAGAAAAGGAAAGTTAACAGGAATTCAATTTCCTAAACATTCCGCATGCCACCTATATTTATCAATAGAGGTTTTTATTATAGCGATACGCGCATATCGTGGAAATATTGTGAGAGGATGGAAAAGCGTGAGTTTTTTTGTTATAGGGGTGATAAGACATAAGCCCCTGAACACTAGTTTACTGATGGGGGGGGGGGGGTATTTCTTATTCGATGCCACTGCTTTACAAATGTTGCTGAAATGATATGATTTTCCGATACCTTTTATATACCTTTTTATGCGTTTGTTGGAAAATTAGAAATTCCCTAATTTACAGTCGGGCGACAAATATGCTTATTTAGAAGCCTTTAAATCAGGGCCTGAAGAAACGGCTCGGCTCGGGGGCTCGAGCCCCCCTCACTTTTTGAAAAAGTATGTTACAGAGATAAAGAAAAAACGAGAGAGAGAAAAAAATAGAGACCTGCCAATGTCACAAATGAGGTATCAAAATATGCTTATCTGACCGTAATGAAATACCTAAAACCCCTGAGCTTCCGAGGGCTCTCCCCCCTGACCGCTACCAAAGGCCCTTAGGTGGGCCCATGGGTGCTCATCTGACCGTAATCAAATACCTGAAACCCCTTAGGTTCCGGGCCACATCAATTGCCTTAAATAGGGCCCCTGGATGCTCATCTGACCGTAATTAAATACCTAAAACCCCTGAGCTTTCGGGGGCTCTGCCCTCTGGACCCCCTCCAAGGGCCCTAAGGCGGGCCCCTAAATGCTCATTTGACCGTTATTAAATACCTGAAACTCCTTAGCTTCCGAATCATATCAATTGCTTTAAATAAGGCACCTGGATGTCTTTTAACCGCAAATAAGGTATATCAATATGCTTATCTGACCCAATGTAATGCCTAAAAACCCTAAGCTTTCGGGGGGTTGGCCCCTTGACGCCCCTGCCGGGGCTTCCAAACCTTTGTGCTCATTACGCCACTGCCCCTGGAAGGTGAGCCCCCTGGAACGTTTGCCCCCCCCCCCCAATACCAAAATGCTTCCGGCGCGCCTGTCCGTACGTGTACCCTAAAACTCCCTCACAGGCGTCTGCCGTCCGGGGCCATTTAACATGAATATTGCCCGTGCGGGTCCCTCACGGCGGCATCTCGAAATGTACAACGCAGATTTAATACAGGAGGTGTGGATACCAGAGGACACATACAAAGTGAGTCAGAAAAAATGTCCCACGTTTTAAAAGTTGTATTGTTTGAAGTATGAATATTTAATCATGAGTTTCATGATATGTCTTGATAGAGTTATCGTCCCAATACAATTAGGTACCATTTTTATTTAAATCTCTGCATGCATGACTGAACATCGGACAATCTTTACAAGACTGCCAGATCTCACTTGCGCCAAGTTGCTAGGTGAGGAATAAAATAGTGTTTTGAACAAAAACAGCCATTTTTTTCTTCAATTATCCAATTATCCATAAACAGATAAAACACACAAACACACACACACACACACACACGCATACAAAGTAGAGGTTGGTGATGATGCCTTAGTCCTTTGACTGCCCTAAGCGGTTACAACCGCAGCAAGTCTCTGATGTCAAATACGCTGGGATTATTAAAATCATGTCTTTCCTTTTAAAACTTAAAATAAGTTACATAATTGTTTGATTTGATATCTTTATCATGTTCATGGTACATCGATTGTGTTAAGTTACACAAAATGTGTTGTAAAACCTAATTTATGATATGTGTTCATAAATTTGATGTCATGTAACGGGATCGACAGATTTCTTTTAAACAAAATATTTGGTTCAAGCAACGAGTGACTTACAAAAAGACTAGTATGGTCGTGATCGAAGAACGGGAAGGTGACGGAGATTGGTAGCTCGGTTGTGGAACCATCATCGTTAGCCGGTAGGAATTCGTCCCCTTCGTTCAATCCAAATGGAAAGAACAAACCTAAATAATCGGGAAAATAAAAGGGGAATATAAGAAACAGCTTCAGCACCGTACCTAACTGCTGCGCGAGCAACGCGACCGAGCACAAAAAAGAAGAAAAGAACGATTGTTGAGGTCACATATAGACCGATATTGTTCCCATCATTAGAAAATCATGA